GGGTAGCACGACGGTGGGGGTCATGGGGAGGGTGTGGCGCGCACAGAAGTGTCCACTAGCGGGGTGGGGATGAGGGGAGCGGGCTGGTTAGGCCCTCGCGGTTGCATGAGGAAGAAGAAGGGGAGGTTGAAGATGAATAATGTGCGATCTGTTTTTGGTCGTTGGATGAAGATCTAGCGCCCCTGAATTAAAGGGATTGATGTAAAAAAAATTCAGGTGCCTTATGTAAAGGCGCTCTCGTTGAGAAAATGTTGGCTCCATGAACAATAATGTGCTTTTGAGAAGCAACGAGTATTTTGTTTGACTAATAATCTTTCACACATTGATAGGCAAGGTTACAGAAGTTCGATCGATTGCAAATTCAAATGTTTTTATAGGACGAAAAGTATTTTGACACGATGAATTAAACACGGGAGGAGGTTCTTGTGTTGACCTTAGGGGGAGAGTATATATTTTGATTGGTACGTTTGTGATCAATGAAGGCCATCGATTTTATTCTGTCTTTTTATCTAGCTATAGGTTCTGGACTAGCTAGCTAGCATTCCACTTGACCTCCCATTTGTGTGTCAGTTTCAATTCCAAGGATTCATCATAGCTAGGTCCAACCTATACCTAATTTTGGGCAAATATGTACCTCAAAGTCTTGCATCCAATTAAACAGGAGGACAGGTAGCATCCATGTGAAACGGTTGACTCCTGAAGATGCACACTTGTGCATACCGCATATACAGATATTTTAGATGACGGCCTCAATGAAATATAGTGCATGTCGATGACAAAAGGAAGACCATTTATTTTCTGTAAATATTTTTGTTCTCTTAAATTTGGTGCTATGTGTCGTCTAGCCTACCTGCCTAGCTACTTAATTAGTTAACATGTACAGAATTGAATTAGTCTTGACGATAGCTTTCTCTCTGACTTACAACAGCTAACCAGTCACTAGCTAGCTAATTAGGTATACGTAAGATCGAGACAACACGTACAACCGGACCGTATTATATACTATAGTCGATCGATCGAATATTTATTAGTTCAAGCTGTTCAATGGATTAGGGTACACGTTGGTATGCACCGCATGTAATGTAAGGCACCGTGAATCCATACTGAAGTAACTAGTGTACTCCTCGAAATTAAACAAACTGTACACATATTTAAAGAGGGTGCAGTAGTTGTATGCCCTTCGCTTCACATGCATGCGTTGCATTGTGCAACTGTAGGCAATGGCATCCCCAGGCCGATTTCCTGCAGCCGTTCGTACCGCAGTCTTGATCGGTCCGTTGGATGGTCTGGATGCATTTTCTTCACAATCCGAAGATAAACTGAGAGGCTTTGCGGGTGTGCGGACCGCTATCACGCCTACGTTTGACTAACCAGGCCCATCAAAAACCCCTCTCTCGCACCTACGCGCTTTTTCGCCCGAAACCAGTTGTCCGCATTCATGTCGGCCCAGAGCAGGCGTGATCGCTCACTGAAGCCGGCATTGAAGCGGCGCGCCGGCCAAGAGCATCCTCGCGCCGCTTCCCGGTGCACTCCGCGTCTCTCGGCATTTAAACGGCACCAGTCCACCCGCCTCCCTCCATTAAGCGTATGCGGTTACCGAGAGACCTACTCCGGCGCCACCCGTCTGTCGGGGAAACTACACCTATGGGATCACGGGGATCCCTTTCTACGGTTGGCGGGGAGAGAGCTGCACGAAGAGCAGGTCTAGTGATCAGCGCGAGGGATTTTTACCCAGGTTCGGGCCGCACTGGTGCGTAAAACCCTAGTCCTGCTTGTGTGTATATTCTGTATTCTTGAGTTCTTGAACTAGCTGCGGTGCATGCCCAGTCCAAAAAGTTCGAATCCTTCTCCAGTACGCCTCGGGCATCCTTTTATACGTCAAAGGGGTTTCCACAGCGGCACACGGGAGGTGGAAAGTATCTACAGTGTTCAAACTTATTGCTCAGCGTCGTAGGACAAACACATTTAATGCGCTGCCTACGTGCCCTCTTATTTTATCGGGGACGGTAACAGAAGCCCGCCCCGTCCGTCGCTGCCTTCTCATTGCCTTGACACGCGTCCAGGTTGACGAGGCATGCAACGCCATGCTGGATGGCTAGCTGCTGTGTTGGCGTGGTGGTAGATCCGCATGCGGCCACGCAGGCGTCTGCCTAGGTGGCAAGCTGGTTGTCGCGCTGGAACTATGGTGAGGTGGCGTAGACTTGTCATGCGTGGGCCTGGCTGTGGCCCCGCAATCATCCCCGGCAAGGCTTACCGGGGGGCCTCGTAGTCGTCCCCGGCAAGGGCCTTGCCGGGGGTCTTTGTCTTCTGGTCCTACGTGGATCCGCAGGCCATTAGTATTCACAAAGATCTGCATGCTACTATGCATGCGTCCCCGAGTCTTGGCCTTGACGTTGTCGATGGTGTCAAAGCTCTCAGCCTCAATGGTGATGATCTTGCTGGTGCTTCACGGGTTGTCCCGGCAAGGAGCTTGCCGGGGCTACGCAAGCCGCCCCGGCAAGGATGTTGTCGGGGGAGGTCCAGCTTGTCCTCTGCTCTTTGTTCGTTGTCTTGAATGTTTGTCTTGGTACTATTGTGTTATGTCCCCTCCTGCCCCGCCAAGCCCTGCCGCAGGCGTGGCTACGACTGCCCGTGCACAAGTAAGGGGTACAGAAGAGCCCCTACTTTTGCACACCTACAGAAGCCCCCGGGCCTGGGCCACTCATAAGCGCGAAGCGTTGTTGGGCTAGACTCAGAACAGTGCACGGGCACGTGTGCCAGGGTTTAACTGCTGTAAACTCTTCGCCAATTGCGCTTCCCCACGACCCGCATTGAGTGCGTGATGTGGGGGTCGTGCGTGGAACGGCCGCATCGCGCTTGCATCACCCCGCAGTAAATAGTAAAGAGGCGGCCCGCGCATTCCTCATAAAAAGAGGAATCCGCAGGGGCGCTGCTCATTTACCCTCTGCGCCCTTCCCAATCTAGGAACCATCGTTCCCCTCTTCTTCCTCAAGCGCAAACCAGAGTTGTTTGCCTCTGCTCGCCGCTGCCGCCGCGCTTCCATTGCTTCTTGATCCCTCGCCTCTTCTTAGCCGCCATGGGGCCCAAGGCAAGCAAAGGCAAGGGAGCGGCCAAGGCCACCAAGGGGAAGGAAGTGTCGGAGAGCGAGCTGGTGAAGTTGCGAAAGAAGCACGCCCTCTTCATCTCGATGGTCGATGCGCTCATCCTCAGGGAGAAATTCAAGTGCATGTGGGGAAGAAAGACGTTGGGGCATCCTTCCACGGTCA